TGGGTATAAAAGGAAGTTAATTTTTCCTGGCAAACCCAGTTCCAGTGAGGCATAGCTGATTAGTGGTTGCTGACTTTTCCTATGGTGTGTCAATGAATGCCACAGAAAATAATCATGGAAGACCACAGTGGTGCTGAATAAAGCAACTGAGAGGGGTTAGTGCAGGAGAGCTTACATTAAAATTCTCAGCAAAGGGCAGGCTGAAAGAAAAGTTTAAATGAATACCAGGAGTATTGTGTGGGCTTGCAATTAGTTGCCTCTTTATGCTTAGTGCATAGAAACATTTTACTTCATTGTGCTTATTACGGCAATAATTATCAGTATTGCTGGCATCATGAGTAGCAAAAAAAGCTTAGACTGAATAAACATGGAAAATGAAACAACTTTTCTTTCTGCAAACCCAGTTTCTCACATACTCAGAGGAGAAGCAGCGTGTGAAAGGTTATTTATCAAATGGGTATAATTTACACATGTTCCTTTTCTGGGTTAAGTAAAGGTGGCCAGTCCACCTAAGTAAGACCGGTAACTAGTCTTGTGGGATAGATGACACATCATGACACCGAGTCCCTTTTCATCCCTACATACTATCAATACCCTATCAGTCTTCTCTCATTGACCCTTTTTGGGCTTCGGCGCCCCCCTTAGAAAGATAGAAAGGAAAGATCTGTTTATTTACAGTCTATTAAGATTTTACAACAGTCCGTACTTGACTGGCAAATATATGTATATCTTCATGAAAGAGGCTAACTTCATGCAGCTACTGTCTCAAAAATTTCATATGAGCAAGCATCTAACGTGGGTTTCTTTTTATCACTTTGCCCATAGTGTCAGTCCAATCTGCACAGGCAAAAATCCTGGAATTCATCTAGAACATTAACTACCACCAGAATTAGTGTTAGTACCTATGGAAAGTTTGGGGAAAAATCTCTAGTTCAAGCAAGACTTTTAACACTCAGAGACCTGAAGGAATTCTCAGATATCCACAGTTTATGGAGTCCTCCAGCAAAATTGCAAACTCCTCTTCCTACTCATCAAAGTTTTTCTTTTGGCATTCTCACTTAACTACCCATACTGGGTGGTGGTGGAGGCAGGCATCAGCAAAAAGAAACTTAAATTTAAACAAAATTGTACTTTTTGGTTGTTAATTTTTAGCTAATCTAACAAGAGCAATGAAGTACAAGTATAAGCACACAAAAGACTGTGAGGATATTATGGCCATTCAGAGTAACCCTGAGTAGTGAGAAGTCCCCAATATGCATGGTGACGTGAAAGTGTATACAATTTCCTGGGCAACAGTGCAAGACATGTGCATGATAACTTTTATATCCTTCCTTCAAAAGAAAAGGATGTGGTAATGAGTAAATATGCATGATTAAAAGGGCAATATTGAGTATCCTCTTAATCAGTAACAGAGGTCTCCTCACTTCATTACAAATTGGCAGCTGAAGCAGGAAATTGCCAAATGTATACTTTTTTGCTTGTTATCAGCTTCCCTAAAGGTATTATATTAGACAGCAATTATAAGCCAGGTATCACAGCAGTGCAGTGTTCCCATTTTCAATACATCCTTTCTAGAAGATGAACAGAACTGGAGTGCTGGTATGTTCCTGAAAAGATGGGTTGTACTTTGTGATTTACACAGTGGCAGCTATAGATCTGCAGTGATGAGAGGGGACTGAGACATGACTCATTTATTGTTATTGCTCTCGACTGGGACATGTGATAGGTTTAAACTTTGTTTTGAATAATCTTTTACATAAATATCTCATAGTTACCACAGATACTGAGCTTTTTGACAACACCCCAGCTTTTTGCATGAATGTGGAACACTGGTCATGACCATGCCCTTTCCTGATCTCTGCCTCAGGCAAATGGTAATTTCTGTGGATTTGCATTTTTGCTTAAGTTCTTAATTTGTTACAGGGGGGTTGAGAAAGCCTTTCTGCCTGGCAGTGCTCTCTGAACCTTGGTTGCCTCAGATTGCTGGGTCTGGTCTCAACTTCCACAGACAATCATATGCATATGAATGATCCTAAAGACAGAAAGAGATAGCCATTCCAGGGGAAGATGAGACATGAAGGTTTTAGCTGTCAAAGCAGAAGGGAGAACAAGCCTTTTCTACCAGCATGGCTGAAGTTGCATGTGCTGCAAAAGCAACACTGGTATTAGCAAAAAGTATGCTGCCTACAAATGAGAGAGCTCCATCAATAAACATCAGTCATTCCAGCTGTGTATTGATGGAGGGTAATTTTTGAACAGTTCGGAATTTACTAAGGAACTACCAAGGTTGTTGGAGAAATGAGCTAAAGGGACTCATATGCATGAAAAAAAGAGGGGGAGAAGTTTAGGAGGCCAAAAAGAATTCAGAGCAGCAGGAAAGGAACAACTGAGTAAGTTTTCAGGAACACTCAATTGGAAACAGTGATACATTCAAGTAGAAATGGCAGTATGTATGCCTCCAGATACAGGAGTTGTAGGTGGAG